TCGCAACTCACTCACAGACGAGGCACCCATCTGAGTCTTCCCAAGATGAATGCATATGTGTGCGATGATGATGGTGATGAGGGTGCTGCTGGTGATGATGCTGGTGATGATGATGCTGCTGATGATGATGCTGATGATGCTGATGGTGGTGATGCTGTTGATCGTGATCATGATGATGCTGATGCTGATGCTGATGCTGATGCTGATGCTGATGATGATGATGATGATGATGATGATGATGATGATGATGATGATGATGGGGGAGGAGGAGGATGTGAGATAGAGAAATAATGGTACTGACAAGGGATGGTGAGGGTGTGGTGATGGCGAGTGTGCAAGCGTTACGTGTTGATGATGATGATGATGTTGATGCTGATGATGCTGATGAGTATGATGATGCTGATGCTGATGATGATAATGATGATGATGATGGTGATGATGATGGTGATGACGTCATGGAATGATCGCACTGATGATGATGGTGCGATGATGATGGCGATGATGGTGATGGTTACTGAGACACCATGATGAGGGGGAGAGGGGGTGCGAGGTGGCGTATGTGAGGATTGCGGTGTGTGTGTGCCAAGAAAACAAGATGCCCATTTGAGATGCGAGGGGCAGTACGCAACACAGTCTGCACCAACATCTGGATGATCCGCGGACGCCCCGCGATCACTTTGCATTTGTCTTTGACTGGGACGGCGGGGGGGGGGGGGGGCAACATATCGCCTGCTGTGTCCAATGCCAACACCGCCCCCCCCCCCCCCCCCCAAAAAAAAAAAGTGTCCTTGCACAAGACATAATTGAAGGGGCCCTGGGACACACAAATAAACACACACACACACATAGAAGGATTCCAAATCTTTTCCCATATTTCCTGGGCTTCTGTCTTCCCCCCCGCTTCCCAGCTTGTCCCATATCTTCTGGGGAAGTCGACGATCCATTGTGTCTGTGTGTTTTTTCCCTTCTGAAAGACATAGTCTTAAGTCGGGCCTGTCCCCCTACAGGGGGATTTTCGGTGACAAATGAAAAATACCCCCAAAATGATCAAAACATAATCCAAAAATAGTCTGGGGATTATTTTTGAGTATTGTTTGACCCTTTTGGGGTATAATTGGGGTACTTTTGATTTTTCGTCGAACATCCCCCTGTCGGGGGACAGGCCCGACTTAAACATAGTCCCGAATGCACTTTGCACCAAAATCTGCATCCTGTGCGGGCGCCTCGCGCTCGCACAGCACGGCTCCCGACAAAGAACCGGCGGGGGTGCCGGCAGGCTGCCTGCCGTGTCCAGGCCCTCCGCCCGCTTCACAAGAAATCCAAGCTCAAGTCGGGCCTGCCCCCCTATAGGGGGACCTTCGACGAAGAATAAAAATACAAACAAAATGCCCCAACATTAACAACAAATGCTAAAACATAGCCCGCCGACTATGCTTTTTTCCTATTTTTGAATATTCCCCCTGTAGAAGGACAGGCACGACTTAAAACAAAACCCATGTTGTCCACAGGGCTGGACCCAGACGTTGTTTTTCGTTTTGGCGTCGTTCTGTTGTTCCGTCCTGCTCTGCCTGTGTACCTCCCTGCCAAAGCGAGCAACAAGGCACAAGCCGAAGTCCAGCAAAGCGGCGCTGAGGTCCAGCCTCGAGGAGAGCCAAAGCCCACGTTGCCAAGGACGGTGGGGTGGGGGGGGCGGCACGCTGCCTGCCGTGCGCAGGTCCACCGTCCCTGTCAAACATCGGGGGCGCGCAAGCATGGATTCGCGATCCATGGATTTGGCGCGCGGTCGCCAAGTCCATGGATCGGGGGGGGCGGCCTCCCCAAAATGCGGCCGGTGCTGCCTCGCTCGGCGGCGGAAATCCGCGAATTCCCATGGAAACGGGACCCGTCGCTAATCCACGCCCCCTTGATCCATGTTTGCGATCGTCTGATGGATGACGTCTGCTTTGGTTCAAGATGGTTGTCGATGGCCGCCCCTGGCCATGCTGAGACTCTGGTGCTACGTATGTGCTGGGTGGTCGGGTGGGAATGCGCGAGACGGCGTGTTGCCTGTCGGAAGCTCGATTACTGTTCCCTATCAAGATACACCTCCTTCCCCAGGCGACGGGCAGCCAACCAGGAACAATGATAACCCCATGAGGGCCACCCCCCCACCATCCCTGTCAACAAAAACACAGAGTACACTTTGGGGCAACGTCCATAGTCACGTTCGTGAGGCTCACGAGCACTCTGTATTGTATTTGACAGGGGCGGCGGGGGTGCCAGCATATTCCCTGCTGCGCGCATGGCTACCATCGCCGACAATGAACAATACAAAATGCACCTCGCGGCTAATCTGCATCATGCGCGGCCAATTCGCGATCACTGCCAAATAGTGGCGTATGGCTTGCTGCGCGCAGGCCCACCAACACACACTGATGGGCACTGGTCTTCGACATGGATGATGGGGGCCGACGTGTTTCGCGATGTGTGCTCTCACGTGCGCAGGCCCCGAACGGACTCGATTGGACAGGACACGCGAGAGGACACACGACCCTTCCGAGGGCCACGTTGCCGCAGGGTGTGGGAAGCACGGGTCGCGAGGCACAGGGCACGAGGGTACCCTTGTTTTGGCAGGGTCGACCTACTCATCCTGGCCGCCTGTGTGCGGCACACCTGGCGCACGCGGAGGCACGTGAGCGCATCTGGCGCACCAGGCGTGCTGGCACGCTCAGGCCCCAGGGGCGCCTGGCGCCCCGACTGCACGCGTGGCGCACCTCCACTTTGGCTCCCACAGGGAAACGAAAAATGACATGGACATGAAAACTCGGAGGTCCGCGCGGATTTCTTGGATCTGCGCTGGGCCCCCTCCTTGGCGCGCGGAGCGCGCCAGGGGCGGCGCCGGAGGCGCCGCGAAGGGGCCCCAGCGCCGATCCGAGAAATCCGCGCGGGCCTCTGAGTTTTCATGTTTATGTCATTGTCTGGTCCCCTATCCCAGTAGCTGCTCATCCAAAGGCGGCCGCTGAACATGCAGAGGCTCGGGTGCTCCTCGTGTGTTGGGAGGGCGGGCGGGAGTGAGCTGGACGGCTTGCTATCCAGGGTGTCTTGCCCCCTTCCCCTACCCACCCCCCCTTGGTCTGCACGATAAGGGGGGGGGGACGGCGAGCGGTCAGAGGGCCGAAGCGAACCAAAGATGGCTGCAAGGGCGGCCAGATAGCCCAGGATGGCCTCCAGGATGACTCAAGACAACTTGGCGGCGCGCAAAAGGGGGTATGGGGAGGGGGGAAGGTCTCTTAGAAGCACCCTGCTTCTTAGACGGCCTGGGCCTTACGTCTACAGAGAAGGCCCGCGCCTTCTAAGAAGCAGGGGTGCTTCTAAGAAGCCTTCCTCCCTCCCCCTTCTCCCCTTCTGCGCGTTGCCGAATAGCGCCAGATGGCTGCCAACATGCTCCAAGAGGTACCAAGGCCGCTCCAAGACGGGTACAAGTAGCCTTCGGGGCTCCCAAGGACACCCCCAAGAGGCCCAACTCCATCCCAAATCCGACGATCATTCAGGATTTCGGTATTCTCGTTCGTTCGCGTTCGGTGGCCTTCCAAGGCTTCAAGATGGTTCCGAGAGGATCCACGAACGACCCAAGAGGGGCCCAAGAGGGCTCTGAGACGGCCCCAAAAACGACCCACGAGGGCCCCAGCAGACGATGTTAGGGGCTCTCGAGGGGCGACGCTAAGTAAGGCCCCCCCCTTATTTGATCGATGACCTCCAAGATGGTCCCAAGGTGGCTTCCAACTTCCAAGGCCCCTGAGAGGGCCCCACCAATGTCCCAAGAGGACCCTGAGATGCCCCCAAGAGGCCCTCAAGTGGCCCCAAAGACGCCCCCGAGAGCGCCAAAGAGGCGCCCAAGACGCCCTAAGAGGTCAGCGATAGCCACCAGGAGTCATCCCAAGCAACTCCGAGGGGCATCCAAGAGGCCTCTCACAGTGGTTCCCTGAAGTATCCACATGATGTCACGCTCCCCCGACAAAGGCATAGTTCCCCTGCGAAACGTTACTGGATGGGCTGGTGGGGATACGCGACGCGTCAAGACTTCCTTCAAATATCCACAAGGGCCTTTCGGAAACCCGTAGGGCTCCTTGGCAATCTTTCCTCCAAGAAGTCCACTGGAACCTGTTGGGGAAACCGTAAGGCTTCTCAAGACCTCGTGCAATTTCCAGTGGAACTATTTCGGATGCCTTGGGGAGCGAGATCACACAACGGTGCAAGATGCGATATCTTTCTGCCACACGAGCAAGGGGAAGCTCTGAATTGCTGCCTGCGGTTCTGTCCGTGCCCCCCATTGAGGGGTATACCTCTAAGCTCTCGCGTGTGTCGCGTGTGTGGGTGTATGGGGAACTCACGTCGCGATGCCGTGGGCGTTCGTCTCTGACACCGCTCGGACCGTTCATCCTTGGACGACTGCGGCTTTCCGATAGCTCGGATGGCTCGAAGCACAGGCCGATGATTGACCAGTGGCGGTGCTCGAACTCGCACGCCCGCCCCCGGGGCCGCCGCGGTGTCGACGCGACGCCGTGATCTTTTCGCAACGTCGACCCCCAAAGGTCTGGACCCCTTCCCCGGGACCGGTTTTTCATCGCATCGTATCGCATCGCATCGCATCGCCGGCGGCACGAGAGCTGTCTGAAGCATCACGGGGCGCCTTCACACCTCGTGGCAAGTATCTGGACGCCTGCTGTCGAAAGCTGTGTTGTTGTTGACGCTCCCGAATTTTCGTCCTGAATTGTTTGTTGTTGAAAGCTGTGGTGTTGTTGTTCGGCCACCGGTTTCTCATCCTGAGTTGTTGTTTGACGCTCCCGAGGCCCAGTGAGGGCCCCCGGGGGTCGAAAACAGTAAAACACACTACCCGTCGTGCTCTTGCACAACGCGCGGGGGTCTGGGGGGCGTGACTCTTGAAACTGCATCGGGAAGTACCGAACGAGAGGAATGCAAGGAAGAGCAGAGGGAGCGACCGCAACAGAGCAGATGCGCGCCTGGAGCCCAACAGCCATGGCGCGGAGGTTCTTCGACGCCCCAAAGCCGTCCAGTCTCCTCAGCATATCATACTGCGGTATAGGCTTAACCTCAGGTCGGGCGTGTCCCCCTACAGACGGATTTGGGTCGAAAATCTTAGAATACTCAAACAAATACTCAAAAAATAGTCCCCATACTTTTTTCACCATTCTTGAATACTCCTCTTGTAGAGGGACAAGCCCGACTTAAGCATGACCTTTCGAAGGTCCGCGCGGATTTCTTGGGTAGCCGCTTGACCTTCTCTTGCACGCAGGGCGCGCCTAGGCAGCGCCAAACGCGTGGGGAGGGGGGGGCAATGCTGACCCGATGCGTACATCTATGTATATGCATATCTCGATATATACGAGAGAGAGAGAGGAAGAGAGAGAGAGAGAGAGAGCGCGCACGTGGCGCACTGCAAAGGGGGGGGGGGTCCCCCATTAGCTACCCCCCCCACACCCTTAGACCTGCCCTGCAGGAAGCCCCCCCCCCCCTCGTTTTTTCTCGCCCCTCGGAAGCTACCCACCCCACTCCCTTTCCAAAAGGGGGGAGGCTTACCTACCCCACCCTCCCCTTGAACCTCCCCTGCCGGAAGCCCCCTCCCTCCCCTTCTTTCTCGCCCCTCGGAAGCTACCCCCCTTTCCCGTCTTTGGCGCTCCCAAAGCTACCCCCCCCTCCTTCCTTTCCCAAAAAGGGGGGAACTTAGCTCCCCCCCCTTGCACCTCCCCGGCCGGAAGCCACATCCCCCACCCCCCTGTCCTTTTTTTGTCCGCCCCTCGGAAGCTACCCCCCTTATTTTCCCAAAGCGGGGGGGGCTTAGCTACTCCTCCCCCTTTCGACCTCCCTGCCAGAAGCCCCCCTCCCCCTTTTCTCTCCTCCTCGGAAGCGAAGCTCCCCCCTTCCCCCACCCCGACAAACGCCGAATACCGAAAGAACTGCGAAACCCAACGCTGCCTGGAAGAACCCCCCCCAAAAGCGCGAACCCCGGAAACCAGAAGGGCGCCGAAAACCGAGAAAACGCCGAAGGCCAAAGGCGCGCCAGAAACCAAAAGGGCGCCGCCAACCAACAGGTCGCCACGCTCAAAGGATGCGCAGAAAAAAGCGATGGCGCGCCGAAAACCAAACGAGCGGCAAAAACCAAAGGATCGCCACAGATCAAAAGCACACCGAGAACCCAAATGGCGCCGAGAAGCAAAAACGACCGAAAGCCAAAGGAGCGCCGAAAACCAAAAAGGCGCCGAAACCCAAAGAGCGGCGAAAACCGAAGAACCAACAACGCGCCGAAACCCAGAAGAGCGCCGACAATCACAGCGGCACCGCAAACCAAAGAGACGCCGAAAACAACATATACTCCGACAGACAACAGGGCGTCGAAAACCAAAGCATCGCCGCAAACACAAAGAGCGCCGAAAACAACAGGAGGCGCCGAAAGCTGAAAAGAACCCGAACAAAGCAAGACGGCGCGGAACAGTACAAATGCGCCGAGAACCAAGAAGGAGCTCCGAAAAGCGAATGGGCGCCGAAAACCAAGGGGTCGCCGAAAGCCCATCGGACGCCGAAAACCTTCGATGCGCCGAACACCGACAGGGCGCCAACAAAACCTCCGGACGCCGAGAACCAAAGGGGCGCCAAAACTTAAAAGGCCACCGAAAACAAACAAGGCGCCCAAAGTCACAAGAACACAGAATTACCCCGCGACGTACCCAACCCTTTCTATACATGTGGTGGTTACACTCAGGACCACTCAATACTGACGGGCATGCTGAAAAACCCGCAGTGCGGAAGAAGAGCACCCAGCAGTGAAATCAGAAGAGCGCAGCAAGAAGAGCAGCGGCAACGCGTAAGACGTACCCTGGGCCTCCCAGGAGCCCACGAACGTGAGGACAATTTCGCAGATCGCAGCCCCCAAGGCACCGCGAGGTCTCGAGGTGATCCGCGTAGGACGTACCTCCGCTGGGCCTCCCAGGAGCCCACGAAAATGGCGACAATTTCGCAGATCGCAACCCCCAAGGAACCGCGAGGTCTCGAGCTGATCCGCGTTGGACGTACCTCCGCTGGGCCTCCCAGGAGCCCACGGAAAAGGCGACAATTGCGCATATCGCAGCCCCCAGGGCACCGCGAGGTCTCGAGGGGATCCGCGTTGGACGTACCTCCGCTGGGCCTCCCAGGAGCCCACGAAAATGGCGACAAGTTCGCAGATCGCAGCCCCCAGGGCACCGCGAGGTCTCGAGGTGATCCGCGTTGGACGTACCTCCGCTGGGCCTCCCAGGAGCCCACGAAAATGGCGACAATTGCGCAGATCGCACCCCCAGGGCACCGCGAGGTCTCGAGGTGATCCGCGTTGGACGTACCTCCGCTGGGCCTCCCAGGAGCCCACGAAAGTGGCGACAATTTCGCAGATCGCAGCCCCCAAGGCACCGCGAGGTCTCGAGGTGATCCGCGTTGGACGTACCTCCGCTGGGCCTCCCAGGAGCCCACGACGTAAGCCTCCCAGGAGCCCACGCGACAATTTCGCAGATCGCAGCCCCCAGGGCACCGCGAGGTCTCGAGGTGATCCGCGTTGGACGTACCTCCGCTGGGCCTCCCAGGAGCCCACGAAAGTGGCGACAATTTCGCAGATCGCAGCCCCCAGGGCACCGCGAGGTCTCGAGGTGATCCGCGTTGGACGTACCTCCGCTGGGCCTCCCAGGAGCCCGCGAAAAAGGCGACAATTTCGCAGATCGCAGCCCCCAGGGCACCGCGAGGTCTCGAGGTGATCCGCGTTGGACGTACCTCCGCTGGGCCTCCCGGAAACCGACGAGGAAGCGCCGAAAACCCAACGATCCGCCGAAAACCAAACGATCGTCGAAAACCATGGCGGCGCCGAAAACCAAAACAGCGCCAAAAAACAAGAACGCGCCGAAAACTTCAGGTGCACCGAAAACCAACGGATCGCCGATCGTTCAAGCCCCCCCCCACCCTTGGCAAGGCAATCTCTGCTGCGAAAATAAGGAGGGGGGTAGCTTCTGAAGCCCCTGGGGGTGACGCATGCGGGCGGTGCCACTGGGGCCTTCGGTGGAGCTCCCTATAGGGCCACGAAGCGCTGTACTTGGTGCGGGTGACGCATGTGGGCGATGCCACTGGGGCCTTCGGTGGAGCTCCCTATGAGGTTACAAAAAGCCGAAAAGCTGTACTGGGTGGGAGTGACGCATGTGGGCGGTGCCACTGGGGCCTTCGGTGGAGCTCCCTATGGGGCCACGGAACGCAGTAGTGAGTGGGGGTGGGTGATATGCTGATGCTGGTGATGATGGAGGAGGGAGCCAGACGTGGAAGAGGAAGGAGAGGAAGGAACGCGGGGCGCTGTCTCCTCGAAACGAGGGCCCAACACATCAGGATGCTTGGGAAAAACAGGGTGCGAGCCCCGAGAGGAGCACCTGCATTGGAATATTACACTGCCACCGGGGGGGACCAACAGTACTTCATCTTCTGCAGAAGTGAGAACTCAACAACAACGCCAACAACAGAAACAAGAACAACACCAACAGCACTATCAGCAAACACAACGACAGCAACACCAGCACTCATCTGAAGGCTGTTCGCTCCGCCCTGCCCCCAGGACATCCAAGGCGCATACATCCCCACGCCCTCGGCACCTGCCCTCTTCGTCTTCGGCCGTGCCCCCTCTGAGGGGGGCACATCTTCTCTTCTTGCCGAGTGCACTTGGCCGAAGGATTGCAAAGGATTGCAAAAAAACGAACACTGCAAAAAAATATATCCTTTTTTGCAATTCGTTTTTTGCAATCCTTCGCCCCTGAACCAGGGTCTGAGGGCAGGAAGGAAGAGACAAGGGTTTGGCCGGGCATGTCCCCCCACAGGCGGATCTTAAACGAAAGACATACACGAAGAATGCTCCAACAAAAAGCAAACATACAATAAAAAACGCCCCCTGGCTATTTTTTACTATTTTTGAGTATTCCTCCTGTAGAGGGACAGGCCCGACTTAAGACGAGGGGGAGGGAGAAGGATTGAGCACCAGAGAAATCTGCAGGGGAAGGGTTCGGAGCAGCAGCGCAAGCGGCAGGACAACCAAAGACCGCCGACAACCAAAGGGCGACGAAAATCAAGAGCCCGCCGAAATCCAAACGAGCGCACAGCAGCGGAAAAAAAAACACACCCGGACACCCAGGAGGCGCCAACATCCTGCAAAGAGCCGAATGCGAACAGAGCGCCGAACACCGAAGAAGCTCCGGAAATCACGGGAAGCCGAAAACCAGAGGCATGTCGAAACCCCCCAAAAACACCAAAACCCCAAAAAGGCGACGACAACCAAAAGGGCGCCGAAAACCAACCGGACGCCGAACGGCAAAAAAACGCCCAAAACAAAGGATCAACGAAACCCAACCGGACCCTGGAACCCAAAACCAACCAATCGCAGAAAACTAAACAGCCGACGAACACCAAAAGAGCGCCGGAAACCGACGAGGAAGCGCCGAAAACCCAAAGATCCGCCAAATACCAAACGATCGTCGAAAACCATGGCGGCGCCGAAAACCAAAACAGCGCCAAAAAACAAGAACGCGCCGAAAACTTCAGGTGCAAAGAAAACCAACGGATCGCCGATCGTTCAAGCCCCCCCCTTTGGGCAAGGCGATCTCAGCTAGAGGGGGGGGTAGCTTCTGAAGCCCCTGGGGGTGACGCATGCGGGCGGTGCCACTGGGGCCTTCGGTGGAGCTCCCTATGGGGCCACGAAGCGCTGTACTGGGTGCGGGTGACGCATGTGGGCGGTGCCACTGGGGCCTTCGGTGGAGCTCCCTTTGAGGCCACGAAAAGCTGTACTGGGTGGGAGTGACGCATGTGGGCGGTGCCACTGGGGCCTTCGGTGGAGCTCCCTATGGGGCCACGAAACGCTGTAGTGGGTGGGGGTGGGTGATATGCTGATGCTGGTGATGATGGAGGAGGGAGGAAGAGGGGGAAGAGGAAGGAGAGGAAGGAACGCGGGGCGCTGTCTCTTCGAAGCGAGGACCCAACACATCAGGATGGTTGGGAAAAACAGGGTGCGAGCCCCGAGAGCAGCACTTGCATTGGAATATTACACTGTCACCGGGGGGGTGGATCAACAATACTTCTTCTGTGGAAATAAGAATTCAACAACAACGCCAACAACAAAAACAAAAACAACACCAACAAAACTATCAGCAACACACAACACTAGCAACACCAGCACTCAGGCTGGCTCGGCCACCTAAGACGCATATATCCCAAACCCTCGGTACTCGCCCTCTTCGTCTTCGGTCGTGCCCCCTCTGAGGGGGCACATCTTCCCTACTTGCCGCGTGCACCTGGCCAAGCCCCTGAACCAGGGAAGGACGCGAGGAGGGAAGAGACCAGGGTTAGGCCTGGCATGTCCCCCCACAGGGTGATCTTAAACGACGAATAAAGCATGCATCACAAATACTCCAAACTAGGCAAGGATACTAAAGAGCATCGTCCCCTGACTATCTTGTCCTATTTTTGAATGCTCCTCCTGCAGAGGGACAGGCCCGACTTAAGACGAGGGGGAGGGGCCCAGGCGGCCAGGTCGGGCGGGCGGGTCGCTAGAGCGTCCACCCATCATCGAGGGATAGCGCTATTCCGAAATGAATCGTTGGGGCATCCCACGCGCGAGCGAATTTCGTGCGTCTCGGAGGCACGGCGCCGCGATGAATTGTAGGGGCGGGCCCCGGGAGAGCGCGGTTCCTGCATACACTCGGGAGAAGTCCCGCGCGAGGCTGTGTTTGAATTGGCAGGGAGAATCAACCGGGAGCCGTCGTTGTTGTAAGTCGGGGGCCAGGGGCGCAGTTTGGTGACCACGAGCTTTCCTTGTGAGAGACAAGGTGCGAGCCAGGGGAAGAGCACTTGCACTGAAGGAATCAAGTGTCACTGGGGGGCGGATCAACAATACTTATTCTTTAGACATGAGAATTCAACAACAATAATGGCAGCAGCAACAGCAACAATAGCAACACCAACAACAACACCAAAGACAGCACCAACAGCAACAGCAACACCACCACCACCACCAACAACACCAACACCAACACCAACACCAACACCAACACCAACACCAACACCAACACCAACAACCAACAACCACAATAACAACAACAACCACAACAACAACACCAACAACACCAACACCAACAACAACAACAACAACAGCAACATCAACATCAACAACAACAACAACATCAACAACAACAACAACAACAACAACAACAACAGCAACAACAACAACAACAACAAAAACAACAACAACAACACCAACACCAACACCAACACCAACAACAACAACAACAACAACACCAACGACAACGACAACGACAACAACAACAACAACAACAACGCAGAACACCAATCCGCACCGCGGAACCTCACTCCAGCCGCGCGCCCAGGGACAGTGAGTGACCTGTCGGCCCCCTCACTATGACACAGACTTCGAGCTTCTTAATCAGCTTCGGAGGGGGCGTTCACCCCCGCCCACAGGCCCACATCGATCCCCGTCGCGGGGCAGCCACCGCGCGCCGACGGCGCTCCGACCCCCGTCGCGGCGCGACGGCGAGGCGAGGTTGACCCCCGTCGGGGGGGTACCCCCCCGCGCTTGTCAAGAAACCCAGAACATGCATGCGGACCTCCGAAGAATCGTATGCTGATGCCGTCTCGTGCTATTCAAGCTCCTGAGGCCGCGGAGCGCCTCCGCGGGCCTGGCCGCGTGGTGGCCCCTCGCGCGCGGCACCGGAGGGAGGCGGGCCGGGGGAGGAAACAGGTCCAGGGACCCTCCCCCTGGACCAACTCGTCCTCCTGAGCTGTGCGATCCCACTGGGCTAACACTCGTCCCGGGGATCCTCGACCTGTTTTATGACGGCCCCGCAAGACCTGGGGAACCCTCGACACGGCGAATCTGATGCAAGAAGTTCGGACCCGCTTCCCCTCAGTAACCGCTTGTGTCGTTGCAGATGCTCGTTCTGGGGACCTTCCTGCAGTAGCTCGCTCCACTCATGCGTCGCAGCTGCGCTAAACGTCCGCCGACTTGAGTCGAACTCGAGTCCAATAGATTCGTCAGGTGGGCCCCAGGAAGGCCTCCCAAACCGAGCATCTAGCGGAGCACGGCGAGTTGAGACAACTCCAGCTCAAGATCGGTCTCTGGACCCCTTCCAGGATCCAAATGTACAGTAGGAGCTCGACCACAAGGAACCTTCCACAAGAAACCCAACCCTGAGATCCCAGGACGCCCATTGATGTTTGGTGTGGGAACGCCACGCTCTCCATGGCAAAACCATCGACACCCAAGGAACCCAGGGCACCCTGGAGGCAAGCAGGGTGCTTCTTGGTATGGGCTTCCGCTGCACCGCCGTGTCCGAGCTGCACCCAGCCGTGACGACGAGGGGCCTCCCCGAAGGCCAAGTGCACCCAAGACGACGCCAGGTCGAAAGTAACATTCGGCGGTGGACAAACCTCCCTTTAGTAAACCTCCCCTTAGCGAAAACGGCCTGGGACCGAAACCGACGGACCTGGACCCGCAAAAATGACGGCCGCGACGCCCGCTCGCGAGCCGAAAACGGCCAATCCCTTAATCGACGTGTCAGGGTAGGAGGTCTGTCCACCCCCTAACATTCAAAGGAGGAGTCCTCGCCAGGAAGATCGCCTCCTGGGGCCCTCTTGGGCTTGGGCGCTCTTGGGGCCCTCATGGGCCCCTCCTTGTGCCTCTCTTGGGCCCGCTTTCTGCCCCCCACCCCCTCCTAAGACGAGGCCAGAGCGAGGATAACATCGGGTGAGGCTAGATCGAGAATCTCTGAGATCCAGCGGCTCTGGAGGATGTCTCCGGCGCCGCGGCCTTCTCAGAGCGTTCCGACATGCTCTGTGAGCGTTCCAGAACTTTCTGGAACGGATTTATCCTCGCCCTAGGCCCGTCCGAATATCCGCCGATGTGATGTTTTAGTCCACGGCCCCAAGGAACTCCCGACCGCTTCCCCGTCGCCCCAGACCTATATTTGAATGGTCCTGGGGCCCGAAAACGACCCCCAGCGGCCGAACTCGAGGAAAGACGCCTGGGATTGAAAAGAACACATTGTCCGAAATCTGGGGAGAGCTCGGGCCCGAGACTGCCCCCCCCCCTTGCCGCACCGTTGGCACAGCGACCTTACGCGGTGGCTTACGCGGGCCGCCAGCGCGGCACGCCGCATTGAAAACAAAGGCGCGCACGCGCGACCTTGCGCGGGCAGCTTACGCGCGAATGTCGGCGCAGTTGGACTCGTTTTCTTGTGCCGCTCAACTGTACCGTCGTCTCAACTCGCCTTAAGTCGGGCGTGTCCCCCTACAGGGGAATTTGCGATGGAAAAAAGAATACTCCCAAAATGCTCCAAAATGGTCAAAAAATACTCAACAAATAGTCCCCAGACTATTTTTGAATATCCCCCCTATAAAGGGACAGGCCCGACTTAAAACTCGCCCTCCTCTGAGCATCCAGTGCACGGCGACCTCGCGCAGGCGCCGACGAAGGCGCCGTACGCGGCGGCAGCCGGTCGCACGCCCAACCGCCACGCCCCGGCCAGAGAGCGCAGGGCCTGACGAGGGGCATGCAAAGGGGCTCAGGGACACACTAATAAATAGGCACAAATCCAAAGATTCTTCATATTTTCCATATTTCCTGCATGCTCGTCTTCCCCTCCATTTCCCATTTTTCATGTTTTCCCGGGAGAATCAGCGTTTATTTGGGTCTGTGTCTATTTTTCCCTCCGACTTTGGGGTTTGGGGGGTCTCTGACTGGACCGGAAACTTTGGGACCGACACTGGGAGAAACGAAGGGCGCGCCCGTCCTCGATCGGGGTGCGTCCGAATAGTCCCTCTGCAGGTGTACCCCCGATGCTCCCCTCTCTTCTTTCTGAGCGACTTGATTTTCCGGGGGAATCGCGGAGATGATGATGATGCTGATGATGACGATGATGCTGCTGATGATGATGCTGATGATGACGATGATGCTGATGATGGTGATGCTGATGCTGCTGCTGATGATCATGATGATGTTTATGATGGTGGTGATGTCAATGACGATGCTGATAGTGATGGTGATGGTGGTGTTGATGCTGATACTACTGATGCTAGCGACGACGATGCTGATGATGCTGATGGTGGTGGTGATGTTAATGACGATGATGATGGTGATGGTGGTGGTGGTGATGATAACGCTGATGTCGATGATGATGATGTCGATGATGATGTCGATGATGATGGTGATGATGATGACGATGCTGACGATGATGATGGTACTAGCAATGAGGGTAACGATGTTACTAACGATGGTGATGCTGATGATGCTGATGCTGGTTATGATGATGATGATGATGATGATGATGATGATGATGAAGGTGATGGTGTTGACGATGACGATGACGATGCCGATACTGATGATTGATGACGATGCTGACACCATGATGACGATGACGATGACGATTATGACGATGCTGATGATAATGATGATGACAAGGCTGATAACGATGAGGCTGCTGATGATAATGATGCTGATGATGCTTATGATGATGCTGATGATGACGGTGATGATGACGATGCTGATGCTGATGCTGATGATGCTGATGATTATGATGATGATGGATCTGAAGAAGATGGTGATGCTGCTGACGATGACAATGACGATGCTAATGGCGATCACGATGACGATGATGCTGGCGATGATGATGCGATGACGATTATGACGGTGAGGATGATGCCGATGCTGATGATGATGCTGCTGATGGAGCCGAATACGAAGATGAATCTGATAGTATGATGACGATGGCGATGGCGATGGTGACGATGATGCTGCTGCTGCTGATGATGGGGGTGATAATTATGATGCTAATTATGCTGCTAGTGATGATGATGCTGATGATGATAATGACAATGATGATGATGATGATGATGATGATGATGATGATGATGATGATGATGGTACAGATGATGATGATGATGATGATGATGATGATGATGATGATGATGATGATGATGATGATGATGATGATGGTAACGACGATGATGATGATGATGATGATGATGATGCTGATGATGATATGATGATGATAATGATGATGCTGCTGCTGCTGCTGCTGCTGCTGCTGATGCTGATGATGATGATGATGATGATGATAACGAGAAAGGGGAATCATATTCCTGTGGGCCTGCGCCCAGCGCATGCCCGTCTCGCACGCGACGAGCAGCTCGTGGAGGCGCGCTGGGGCGCAACGCGGGCCGCTGGGCGGCAGGCCTGAGGGGCAACGACAGCCCAGAGCCCTCAGGACGTTCGGTGGCAACTCGCGGGAGCCTTCGATATACTTCTTGCTGGCCCTTGTGAATCGACGACGGCGAACGCCAATCCATGCTAATCGACGCCAGTGGACGCGCATCGACGCTGAATGGATGAATCGACGCTGCATCGGTGCTCTCTGAGTGATTACCACACGCTCACTGAACGCACGCTGGTGTACTCTAAACACGGAATTTCGAGAACGTACGAGGCTCCCGCGATCTGCTACAAGAATAGCCCATGATCCTCAGGACGTGTGCTAGCGCTAACGTGTGCTGGTCCACGGACGTCCCTCCATCCAAAGCACGTGGTGAAGTGCGGGCCGACACAGGCTGCGTGCTGTTGGTGGAGCTGCATGTGTCAATCTAACACGCACTGGGCTGGCACATGTCCCCAGGCTGACAGAGATCAGGGGGGACTGGCTCGGGGGGGGGGGGGGACGGTGACCTGGAACCTGCGACACACACCGCCGACAGGTCAGCGATGGACCCCCGATGGCGACACCGCACGCTCCTGGGCGGGGCGGGCGCTCGGGCCCCTGCCAGCGATGACTGGGCGACGGGGTGCCGATGATCTCCCCCCCTGGACCCATCCCCCCCTGGTGGCCCTCGCTGTCTGGCTTCTGGGACACCACCGAAGTCTGCGGGGTGTCGATGATCTCCCCCCTGAACCCATCCCCCCTGGCGGCCCTCGCTGTCTGGCTTCCGGGCCACCACCGAAGTCTGTGTTGGCCGCTCGGGGCGATCTGGGCACCCCCGGGAACGCCCTCGGCGAAGCGCAAGCCGCTGGAAGACGCCCCGAGTCTGGAGAACTGACGGGAGGGAGCCCACAACCACGCGGGAGATCCTGGAGCTTCGATCCCCCCCCCAGAGCCGATCTAGCCCCGAGAGCCTCTCCCCCCCCTGCCACAACATCCGCCCATACCATGCCTGCAATCGCGGCCCCGGAGGACCGCTTCCCTGGGGCATGCTTCGTCCTGAATCCGCTGTTGATTGTCCGGGGGACCGAACTCCCACCAGCCGTTGAGGGCGTGAATGGTTTGGGGCGTTTCCTCTTCCACCCCCCCTTCCGCCCCCTGCAGGGAGAAAATTATCTCTGTTCCCTATTCGTGTGCACACCCTCCCCCACCCAGCCGGCGGCCAACCCGGAACCATGCCAAACCCAGGCGGGCCCCTCCCCACCATCCCTTTCAAAACACCAATGCAAAACGCACTCTGCCTCGACGTGTGAGGCGTGCGCGGCTAGCCCGATGCGGCCCCCCCACCATCCCAGTCAAAAAACAGTATATAGTACACTTTGGGGCAAAGTCTTGAGTCATGTTCGTGAGGCCCGCGAGTACTCGGTACTGTTTCTGGCAGGGACGGCGGGAGTGTCAGTTACATGCTGAGCGCAGGGCCACCATCCCTAACAAAAAACATAACGAAATGCACCTCGCGGCTAAATCTTGATCATGCGCGGCAGCCCTGCGATCATTGTCAAGAGGTTTCTGGGGTGGTGGCGTATGGCCTGCTGTGCGCAGGGCCACCAGACACAACGATGGGCACGGGTTTTCGGCAAAGATGGAGGGGGCCGACACGTTTCCCGATGCGCGCTGTCACGTGCGCAGGCGCACCTGACACACCCTGCACGTGCCCCGAGAGTGGCGCACCTGGCGCGGCTGGAGTGTGCAGCACACCTGACGCACGTGGACCGCGTGGCGCATCTGGTGCACCAGACGTGCCTGGCAAGCTCGGGCCCCAGCGTCGCGCACATGGGTTTAGTTTTGGTTCCCAGCAGCTGCCCATCCAAAGACGACCGCTGAACATGCGCAGGCTCGGGTGCTACTGATGTGTTGGGAGGGCAGGTGGGAGTGAGCTAGACGGCTTGCGGGCGGGCTGGTAGCTCGACCCCTCCCCCTCCCCCGTCCCCCTGGACCTAGAGTCAGAAGGTGGGTGGATGGGGACTCAAGATGGCTCCAAGAGGACATCCGAGAGCCCAAGAGGCGCACATCCTTCAAACACCTAGGAAGGATATCCATGAGTCCAGCTTTCTTTTCAGCATTCTCGCCCTTTCGATTCCGATGGGCTCCCGAGGCCTCAAGATGGCTCCAAGAAGGCCCCAAGTGGGGCCCACGACGGCCCCTGGAGAGCCCAAGAGCGCCCCAAGAGGCGACATTGGGATCTCTACAAAGGGGAGGGGCTAAGTGAGTACACCCCCTCTTCGGTCAAAGAAAACATGAACATGGAACAAACACAAGGACTGCGAAGGATGTTGGCTTTTCGGGGGCATCTTTGGCAGGCTTTTGGCCCAAGAAGGCTCCAAGATGGCCCCAGATTCAAGATGGCCTCCAAGATGGTCTCCAAGATGGCTCCAAGAGACTCCAAAGGAGGAGTCTCAAGAGGCCCAACTCCGTCCAAAACCTTAGGGACATCTATGATTGTGGCCTTCTCGCCCTTTAGCTTCCGATGGGCTCCCGAGGCCTCAAGATGGCTCCAAGAGGGTCCAATAGACCCCCAAGACAGGTCCAAGATTTAGGTCGGGCGTTCACCACAAATGTTTAAAGTAGTCTGAAATAGGAAAACCAATCGTCTCCAGACTATTGTTTGACTATTTTTGAATATCCCTCCTGTAGAAGGATACGCCCGACCTCCCCCCGGATGGCCCACGACGGCCCCAAGAACGCCCCAAGAGCGTTCCGAGAGGACCCCAAGAGGCGACCTTGGTAGCTCCAGAGGGGCGACGCGAATCAAGTGCCCCCCCTCTTTGATTGATATCCTCCTAGATGTTCCTAAGAATGCTTAAGTCGGGCGTGTCCCTCTACAGGAGGAATATTCAAAAACAGTCAACAAGGGCACGATGACTTGACTACTATTTTTGTTGTTTGTTTCCTATGTGTTCGACTTTTTTTTCTCTCTCCTATTTTTGCATTGTTCGTCAACAATCCTGTATGGGGACACGCCCGACCTAAAAGAAGGCCTTCAATGCCCTTATGAGGTCCTTAAGAGGCGCCACTCGGCACCAACAGGCCCCCAAGACGCCCCCAAGAGACCACCAAGAGGCTCCCAAGCGGCCCCCAAGCCCAAGAGGTCCTCCAAAGGCACCCAAGACGCCCGAAGAGGCCCCTGGGACCGCCGAGAGTCCCTCAAGACGCCCAAAGAGGCCTCAAAGAGGTCTCTGGCCCTTCTGCTCGCCCTCCTCCTCCTCCTCCTTCTCCTCCTCCGTATATTTCTTCTTCTCCTCCTCCTCCTCCTCCTCCTCCTCCTCCCCTCCTCCTCCTCCTCCTCTCCTCCTCCTCCTCCTCCTCCTCCTCCTCCTCCTCGTCTCGATCTCCATCTCCTCCCCTTTTCTGTGGTGTGACGGTTTCCGCCTGTTATTATAATGCACGCTCCTCCACATCCCTGATCAAGGCAACTCGCCTGGGCATCGTTTTGGGATGGATGGGCGGGGTTTCGCGAAGCGTCTAGAATTTCGGAGATTACGCCGGTGGAAGACATCACATCGTCAGAGATCTGCCGGCGAGCCCGAAGGGTGTGGTTTGCAAAGGGTCGTTTGCAAACGCGCACCCTCTGGGAGCGGGCGAGGACCTCGGCAAGGAGGTCTTTGCCCGGGCCCGAAGAGGCCCGAGGAGGCCCGACGAGGGCAGCGTGGCGCCCCCAAGCCCCAACGACGCAGCAGAGCGCAGGCCGCATCCCAACGTAATCAATCTGGTTCGTGTCGCGCCGACTTCGGCGTTGGCTTCCGACACCGCGCTGGATCGTTCAGCCTTGAACGATCGGCCGTTTCCGAAACGTCCAAATCGTTCCACAACGAACCGTTCTGGGTCGCCCGCGGCGTTCGACGTTGAACGCTGCTGGCGGGGTCGCCGCCGGTCGACACGACACGAACTTGCCGTGACCACACACTCTGTAACCGCCGAATCTGGAATCTGGACAACGTTGCCCCCGCAGGCCCAGCAGGTGCAGCGCCAGCGGCCACGCCTGGGGAGACCAAAAGATGCTGGTGCCGCTGCTCCACGGACCTCTCCCGGGTTGCGTTCTGACCAGCATTTCGAGGCGAATCCAATGGTGGCGACGAGGGCCACCCACGAGGCCCAGACCTAGAAAACGAGTGAAGCGTAGCGGTCGGTCGGAAGGAATAGTGGGTAGAAGCACGAGGTACGAAGGCGGTGAAAGTAGATTGGGCTTCTGCCCGCCCGCTGAAGAGGAAGGAAGAGGCGAAACTACTCGATTATTGAATTAGGAAGGCGCCTAAAGTGCAGTCGGCCCGTATCAGAAGGATGCGCGAGAAAGATGCAAGGGCTGCAAGGGCCTTGGACGCCCACTCCGAAGCTTTTCGAGCGGGGCGCGGCCAACGAAAGTGGCTAAGGATGGACCGAGGATGCCAGGGTACCCTTAAGAAGGTTGCCCATCCTTACTATGCGGGTTGACTGCAGATCGGGACCTGGGATTCCAGAAATACCTACTTCAAACGACCGGCGCGTAGCGGTAGGTCGTGCCTGCCCCCCTACAGGCAGATTTTGGACGAAAAAAAAGATTCCACAAATATTCAAACATGGTCAAACATACGCAAAAAAATCGTCCCCTGACAATTTTGGGGCTATTTTTGAACACTTCTCTTGTAGAGGGACACGCCCGACTTCTGCGTAGTGGTGTGGGCACATTGTCCTTCTCTGCACGCCGGCGCGCGCCACCGGGTCGACCACGCCCACGCCAGCGGGTCGTCCGCGCCCAAGCCCTCCTCTCGGGGATCCATTGGCCCGGGCCAACCAGACCTGGGTCAATCAGGCCTTACAGAATCCTGCCGCATCCTGCACCCAAGCCCGGGCCAGTGCGACCCTGGCCCTGCAAGGCCCTGCAAGATCCTGCAGGGTCCTGCACCCAAGCCCGGGTCAGTGCGACACTGGCGCTGCAGGATCCTGCAAGGCTTGGCGCCCTGGCTGACCCCCGTTTGCATCGACCCGGGGATGGACAGGGCCCCCTTTCGCACAGCGTGGATTCGTGAAGACGACCCCGGGCCCAAACCTGGCGGGCGCAGGACTGGAAAACGACGGCCGCGGTGCCCTCTCGAGAACCGATAACGGACAGTCCACTAGTCGACGTGTCCAGCCCCGACGCACGTCCGACGCACGTCCGAGCGATGCCGAGAGGAGGGCGGGCTGACCGGCAGAGGGGGGGGGGCGCGAGGCAGCTCGGCTCCCCGAGCTCGGGGGCGCCCCGTGCCTCCGTGGCCTGGGGGAGCGAACAGGAGGAGGAGGAGGAGGAGGAGGGAGGAGGAGGAGAGGAGGAGGAGGAGGAGGAGGAGAAGTTGGGAGGAAGGAGGAGGAGGAGGAGGAGGAGGAGGAGGAGGAGGAGGAGGAGGAGAGGAGGAGGAGGAGGAGGAGGAGGAGGAGGGGGGGAGGAGGAGAGGAGGAGGAGGAGGAGGAGGAGGAGGAGGAGGAGGAGGAGGAGGAGGAGGAGGAGGAGGAGGGGAGGAGGGGGAGGGGGAGGGGGAGGGGGAGGGGAGGGGGGAGGGAGGAGGAGGGGAGGAGGAGGCGGAGGAGGAGGAGGAGGAGGGAGGAGGAGGAGGAGGAGGAGGAGGAGGAGGAGGAGGAGAGGAGGGGAGGAGGAGGAGGAGGAGGGGAGGAGGAGGAGGAGGAGGAGGAGGAGGAGGAGGAGGAGGAGGAGGAGGAGAGGAGGAGGAGGAGGGAGGAGGAGGAGGGAGGAGGAGGAGGAGGAGGAGGAGGAGGAGGAGGAGGAGGAGGAGGAGGAGGAGGAGGGGGAGGATACGATGCGATACGACATCATTGGCAGCAGCAGGTTACTGTCCACTCTAACTGTCAGAGAGAGGCAAACACAATAACATTCTCTGCGGATGTTGCTCTCGTGAGCCGTTTCAGCGCCAGCGCAGACCACTGTCACGTGAGAGTCGGGATCTGGCCTGCTGGCGCCGAGGTCCGTGGAGGGCCCACTCTCGGGCCAGACAGCACGCACCTAATGTCGAGACATCTTCCGCCCCCCCCCCGCTCTCCCGCGACCGAACCGACGCCCCCTCCCTCTCCCTCAAGAGTAGGGGGAGGAGAGGAGAAGGAAGGAGAAGTTGGAAGAGGAATGGGAGGATGTATGAGGATTGAGGATGAGGAATGAGGAGGAGGTGTGAGGTGGAGGAGGATGAGGAGGGAGAAGGAGAGGAGGAGGGTACGAGGAGGAGAAGGAGGGATGAGGATCCGGGAGGAGCGAAGGAGCGAGGAGCGAGGATCGAGGATGGGAGGATTAGGGAGGAGGGAGGGGGTGAGGAGGGAGGAGGGAGGAGGGGAGGAGGGAGGAGGAGGAGGGAAGGAGGCGAGAAGGGAGGAGGGAGGAGGAGGGAGGAGGTGGAGAGGAGAAGTGAGAGGAGGAGGAGGAGGAGGAGGACGAGGACCCGTCTCTTGAGCCCCAATCCTCGTCCACGCCGTCGACGCCGGGCCCGCCTGCCCAGGAGAGGGAGTCCGGCGCCTGCCCGCAGCCCACGGCGAGGGGGACTCCTCGCCTCCTCCTCGTCCTCGTCGTGTCATCCTCCTCCTCCTCCTCCTGGTCCTCCTCGTCCTCCTCCTCGTCCTCCTCCTCCTCCTCGTCCTCGTCCTCGTCCTCCTCCTCCTCCTCCTCCTGGTCCTCGCCCTCGTCCTCGTCCTCCTCCTCCTCCTCCTCCTCCTTCTCTGCTCCTCCTCCTCCTCCTTCTCCTCCTCCTCCTCCTCGTCCTCGTCCTCGTTTACGAAAAGGCCCTGGGCGTTTACCAAACAGCCCTGCAATGCTGATTCCTTCCTTGGGTGCGTTTACTAAACGACTTCGCTTGTCGGGGCGCTTATGTGCATACTATGGGGGTGCGTTTTCTGCTCTCTATTGTTCCCGGCTCTCCTCCTCCTCGTCCTCGTCCTCGTCCAGGTCCTCCTCCTCCTCCTCCTCCTCCTCCTCCTCCCGGTCCTCCTCTCGGCGGCAAGCGAGAGGGCGAAGTGAGAAGGAGAAGGCCTTCTCAGAAGGCGGCGGGGTGTCTCAGAAGGCCTCGGGCATTCTGAGAGGTTTTCTCTGTCTTAGGGGAAGACTGCGAAAACTTTTGAGAATGCCAGGGGACTTCCGAGCCTTCTGAGGCGTACCCCTCTTCTTACTTCCCCCCATCGCTCGCCGCCGATCCTCCTCCTGGTCCTCAACCTGGTCCGCCTCGTCATCGTCGTCGTCGTCGTAACCTGGTCCGCCTCGTTGTCGTCGTCGTCGTCCCCCTCCTCCTCCTCCTCCTCCTCCTCCTGGTCTTCCTCCTCCTCCTCCTTTTCCTCTTCTTCCTCCTCATCCTGCTGCTCCTCCTCCTCCTCCTGCCCCTCCTTCTCCTCCTCCTCATCCTCCTCCTCCTCCTCCTCCTCCTCATCATCATCATCACCCTCCTCCTTCTTCCCTCATGGGTAACGACAATGCGGTGGCGGACCGTGCGGTTACCTCGGACCCCCTGAAAACCTCACCGCGCGGTCCGTCGCCGCACTGTGCTGGGACCCTGGGAGGCTTCGGTCGAGACCGTCCCGTCATCCCGAATCCCCACTACCTCACGCCACGGTGCGGCCACCACACCCTGTGGGCCCCCCCCGATCCTCCCCCTCAAGACTCAGCATTCTCAGCCAGCCCCGCGATTAGGTCGGGCATGTCCTCCTACAGGCGGACTTTGGACGAAAAATCAAAATAGTCCAAAACTACCCAGACATGGCCAACAACAATAGTAGAATCGTCCCCTGACTATTTATTATTATTTTTGGATATTCGTCCTGTAGAGGGACGCGCCCGACTTAAACCCCAGGAGGGGTGGCGGGGTGGCCAGGGGTCGAGCAGCTCGAAGACCGAGCAGGGCGGGGAGGTGCGCCGCTGGCGGCAGGACAAGAAACATCTGTGTCTACCCCTGCCCAAGAGCCCACCATCAAAGGGAACCTGAGACACACACACACACACACCACACACACACACACCCACGCACGCACGCACGCACGCACGCACGCACGCACGCGCACGCGCACGCGCACGCGCACGCGCACGCGCACGCACGCACGCACGCGCACGCGCACGCGCACGCGCACGCGCACACGCACACG